CCCCAAAACCCCAAAACCCCAAAACCCCAAAACCCCAGCTTGTATATAATTAATAGAAATTATTAAAAATAATATATGGAAGTACAGAAAAATAAAAGTTCTCTTGAAGAACAAAAATATTCATTCATTGATGCTTGCAAGAGCAAGTTACAACACTTAACGGTCAATTCTGAGAAATTAGAGCTGAAGCAGAAGCAAAGAAAGCTCCTTGCCCCGGGAAGGAGAATTCAGGGAAGAAATTTTGCTGGACTCTTTTCAACCAATTCTGGGTGAGAACAAGGAGCTATAAGATCGAGGAATCAGATCTTTGGAGGCTCTGATGAGAGGAGTGAACTTTCTCAGAACATACAAACAGGAGGAACATGCCTCTCTCACCCAGGAAGACCTGGGCTGAAGAGGTACTCTAAGGGCAAAAGGAATTTACTCCTATTATTAGAAAATGATGAATAAACATAATAGTATCATCATTGTCCTTTATATTAATTAATTTAAAACCTTCATGATAATTACTCTTAAGAGGCTTATCTCGAAATCTGCCTAAGTAGGACACTCCATTGGGAAATAGGTTACTATAGTTTTATTAAAAATATTGCTGATTTGCCAGTACTTTAAAGCACCTGTCTGAGTAATGTTCGTAGGCTTAGACACACTTGCTTAAGTCTAAAATTAAGCCCTATACACTTTCTCATAGCATTAGAGGTTGGGCACATCGATAACAATTTTTTATAGTTAATAGGCTTTAAAGGGAAGTTTATAAGACCATTTATGAATTACCTTAGTCATAAATTTATGTTACACCAGTTGTGTAGAATGGTTTGAGAAATATTCCAACTCAATTTACAGCTTATGATACACAGGAGATTAGAAAATTCTACTCATTAACATCATTGGCTGAGCTCGGTCGAGTAACTTATTCTTCCAAAAAATTTTAATAACAGAAGTAATTTAAAATCACTAAAATTTTCATGCTTTTTAGAGATAATTTCCACAAAAAACCGAGATAATATCGTTCTTTAAAAATCTCTTCTAACTTTGGTCCTTTTGATTCCCCATTAAAAATTGAGTATGATAGATTATAAATGGTGACTGTAAAACTCGAGAAGATCAATTAGGAACTTATAAGGAAAGTCTTTGTCTCCTTATGTTGGTGACCCAATATCTGTCCATTTAGAGCACTTATAAGTTGGATACTTTTCCAAATTTTAGCAGGTATGCAGGCTTAGTCAGAATGCCAAGATCCTCTCTAAGTTTATAGGTACTAAGTTTAACATTCAATTAGAGCCCAGGAAGGCTCAGAAGAACTTCTAATTTTAAATTATTTGATATCGAGTAATTAATAGCGTTCTATTATGAGTAATTCCCAATGTAAATCACACCAAAATTCTCAAATCTCATAGAAAATGAAACAAATGAGAATAATAAAGATCTCTCCCAATGAATACAAATATTTACCAATCAATGTACTCTCCCAATACTATCCATACTAATATATAAATTCTTATCAAGACTACATAGCCAAAACCTAGCATCTCATGAAGGTTCCAATTAACCAAATTACCCAGTTCCATTCCTTAAAACCCTTTCTCCAGACCTTATGTTCCTTCTATCTGCTCAAATACGGTCTCTAAAACTCAAGAGTTCCTTAGCCGTCTTTCTCTTAAGCGTAACTTGAAAACGATTTTTTAAGTTATGCCCAAAAAGGGCTACCTATATTTTATGTAAATATAATTTATTCTCGTTCAACTTCATCTGAGCTTGCTGGGGTTTTGGGGTTTTGGGGTTTTGGGGTTTTGGGGTTTTGGGG